TATTTTTTATTTATTTGAAAAACAGAGTTATGGATAGAGTCAAAGAGGCATGCAGTCAAGGAGAGAGAGAGATTCCTTTCTGCTGGTTCACTCCCCAAGTGGCTGTAACTTATTGGTCATGAAAAAGGCAGGAGCCCAAAGCTGCTTCTGGGTTGCACATATGAATGCAGGAGCCAAAGCGCTTGAGTCATCCTCTACTGCTTTTCCAAGTACATTAGCAGGGAGAGGAACTTGAATGGAGCATCTGGGACTTGAACCAGTTTTCAGAAGGGAAGCCTATGTTACAGAGGCCAACTACTATACCATAGTGCCAGCCCCAGTTTATTATTTTCTTTGTGATTACATTGTGCCCAGCCAGATAATCCTAGATAATTTCATTTAAAGATCTCAAGTTTAATTACCTGTGTAAATCTCTTTTGTCATATAAGGCAAGATATCAAATTCCGAGAATTAGAATGTGGACATCTTTGGAGAATGTTGTCCTGTGTACCACAGTGATACATCAAAGTTTGGCAAGATTCATATTTTATAGATTTAAGCTCTTAAAGCTTAGTTATTTTACATAATCGTAAGACAATATTCATCACATTAACAGGTCAAAAATTAAGTATGATTATCTCATTAATACTAAAATCACATTAGAAATTGTGCCAAAATTCATTTTAAAATGTTTTTGAATATCTATTTACAAGTCAGAGATGCAGAAAGAGAGGGACAGATAGAGAAAGAAAGATCTTCTGCTCACTAGTTTAATCCCCAAATGGCCACAAAGGTCGGGCTGGGCCAAACTAAAGCCAAAATCCAGGAGCTTTATCTGGGTTTCCCATGTAGATGCAGAGGCCCAAGGACTTAAGCCATCTTCCACTGCCTTCCCAGGTGCCTTTGCAAGGAAATGGATAGGAAATGGAGCAGCCAAGACTCAGGCTGTTATCCACATGGAATGCCAGCATAACAGACAGCAGCTTAGCCCATTAAATCCCATTCAAGTTGAATAAACAGTTGATGTTGTATAGTTTTCATCGTAGAGGTCTTCCATGTCTTTGGTTAGATCTATTCCAAGGTATTTAAGATTCTTTTCTAATGTTTTAAAGGAGACTGTACTTACATGTTCTTTCTCAGCCATGGAGTTATTTGTGTATGCTGGCATAGATTTATGTTCATTCATTTTGTACCCTGATACCCTCTGTTATGAGTTCCAATGGTTCTTTATTGAGTCTTTTGTTCTCCTATATATCTAATCATGTTTTCTGCAAACAAGGATAATTTTAATTCTTCATGTTCAATTTTAATTCCATTTGTTTCTTTTTCTTGCCTAATAGCTCTAGTGAGGAATTCCAATCTGATGTTGAATTGAAGTGGTAGAAGTGGACATCTTGTCTAGTTCCAGATCTTGGTGGAAAATGCTGACATTAAATTTTTCATATATTGCTTTGATTGTGTTGTAGAATGTTCCTTCTATGCCAATCTTGTTTAGGATTGTTAGCAAGAAGTGGTTTGGATATTATCAGATGCCTTTTCTCATCTATTGAGATGATCATATGCTTTTTATTCTTCGTTTTGTTGATGTGGTGTATCACATTTATTGATTTGCATATGCCAAATTATCACTGCATGCCAGGGATAAATCCCACTTAATGTGTGTGAATAATCTGTCTGATGTATTATTGGATTTATTTCCCCAAAGGACAAATATCATATTTCTCTCTGATATAGGAAACATTCATGCAAAATAAAAAAACATATAGGTAAACATGTATATAGGTATAAGCTCATAGGTGAACTGTTAAAAAAAAAAAGACTAGCATACTGGGAAGTGAAAATACGTTGCAGTATGTATTTCTACTCCCAAATAAAAGGACTCCCAATGAAACTGTGAAATATACCTTGAAAATTTGCCTACCATTGCCTAAACCTACAATGCCATGATACATTTAAGTAGCAGAATGTTGGACTTGTGACTGTTGCTGAAGGACTGTACTATTGGAATAATATGGAGGTAAGCAGTGGGTAGGAAAAGAACAGGCAGGGAAGAAGGGAGGTGAAGAGGGGAATCCCTATATCCACAAAACTGTAACATGGAAAATAATAATAATAATAGTAATAAAGGAAAAAGTTGAACCTTATAAATAACACAAATGCAAAACTGAATATACTAGGAGGGAAACTGTTGACCATAGAAGAAATTCATATGAATAGTAGTACAGCTAATATTCATATTGTATGAATAGTTAGTACTGCTAACATTTTAACAGTACCATGTGCTAGGGCACTGTTTCAAACACTTTATGGATATTAATCAATTTGTACAACTCAGTTTGATAACTTACCTAGTGTCGCTGAGATAGTAAATGGTAGACCTGCAGTTTGAACTCTAGAAGTTTAGTGTCAAAACAAGTTCTAGATGGATAAATGATCTTGCCATAAAACAAATCTGTCAGATGGTGGTTAAAATTTTTCTGCTTTAGTCAATATTATTATCCTGTGGTAACCTAAAATTAAAAATCCTGGAGCTTTAAGCAACAAAATTGTTCATGTCCATCCTAGTGAGGATAGGTGCCAGCTCAGTTTTTTTTCTACCGTGTAGACTGCTAGGCTAATCACTAAACCACTGATGGTTATTGTGAAAAAGGGAATGCAGTTAGCTGTGTTTGACTCTTGAAGGTTCCATTTGGAAGCTCTCATGTGATGCATGCTTGTTGCATTGAATGAAGGGGGCAGCCTTTGTGGTCACACCTACCACCTGGGTGGTGAAAAGAGACAAACTAAGATATATTCTCAGACGTAAAGAGCCAGAATGTTTGGTGCATAGCACCCTTGATTTGTATGATTTAGATGAATATATAGAGAGATTGAATGTACATATTAAAGAGAGTTTTTAAGCATGGGAGAAAGTATTGGTAGATTTGACCAAAGATACATTTAAAACATCTCTGTATAAAAAAAAATGATAAACTTTTAAGCAAAATTATCTGTAAAATAGGACAAAGGTGAGAATTTTTAAAATAAACCAATAATTTTAAAATGCCAAATTATAAATGGAACAGGATGGTGAATCCCAAAATACCAAAAGACTGTGCAAAGTCAATCATAATTCATCATTCAGATCATTGCAAATGAAAATTAAAGCTAGATAAGAACCAGGTAGGGGCAGGCATGATGGGGTTACTGGGAATCACCCCGACTAGGCTGCAGACACCCACTGGCTTGTGTGAGGGCCAAGTGTGAGGTGGGCAGAATCAGGCTTGACTGCAACACCCATTAGTCGTGTGGAAGACAGATCTGGAAACAGAACTGACCCAGCAATTGCAACCACCAGCATATGCATAAGCTGATTGGGGTGACAGTCTGCTGGACCCCGTACTGGCATTCACGCACAAGAATCAGGTCTGGGATCACCTCCGACAAAGTTTCTTTGGGGATCCCTCAACTGAGTTGCCGATTCCAGAAACCCAATCATGAAGAGAATTGCAGGTTCCACGGTCCAACCATGGAGGGCAGGTGTCAGAGCTGAGCCTCCTCAGAGGCTCAGATGGATCAGTGGACAGAATATCCAAGTGCATCTGGAGGAAATGGTGGTTCATCAGAGCCTGCAGAGGACACCTGGTACCACAACAGAGGACCCTAATGTGGACTGTGTCAGCCAGTGGATTCTGGAGAGATTTCATCATGCATGGGATGGCGAGATTGGCGGCAATTCAGAACTGTTGAGCTATCAAAACCACTTGAGCAGTGCCCTCGGAGCATGCCCATATCAGGGACCCTGGGATGGGTTGGGAGGTTGGGGGCCTTCTCCCTTTGTCACCCACCTTACCCTAGATACACACAGGCACAAAAATGTAGAAACAATGGTCTTACCCACTTTCCTGTTACCCTTGACTCTTTGTTCTCTAATCAACTATGTAAAGTTTATCAAAATTTTAAAAAATAAATGAAAAGAAAATTAAAGCTAGGTACCACTTTTAATCTACGACATAGTAGTAACTTATTTTGGTGAGGAGAACAAGAGAACACATGCATCATCATGAGGTTGGAGGAGCAGATTTTAGTTTAGTGGTTAAGTTGCCAGAAGACATCCACATTTCATATTCAAGTGTCTGAGGTCATTCCCAGCTCCAGCTCTCAATTTCAGCTTTCTGCCAGTGAGGATCCTAGGAGGTAGCAGGTGACAGCTCAGTGAACTGAGTTCCTGCCCCCCATATGGGGGACCTGGATTGAGTTCCAGCTGCTGGCTTTGACCCAGCTACCCCTGGCAATTGTAGGCGCTAGACTGAGCCTTAAGATGAGAGCACTGTCTTTATTCTGCCTTAGTCAATATCATCCTTATCTTTATCGTCCTCTCTCCCCACCTCTGCCTCTCAAATTTTAAAAATATTTAAAAAAATTTTTTCCAACCATCTGGTAGGCAGTTTGGCAATGTATATTACAGATTTTAAATTTAAAATGTTCATAGCATTTAATTACACAGTCCATTTTCAGGAATTTAAACCATTAAAGGTTTACATAAAGACCTTGGTGTAAAGAAGTTTGCGGTAGTATTGCTTACAACTGGGGACAAATGGAAATAATTCAAAATGTTCGCTATTAAGGAAGAATAAATAAACTTTTGTACATCTGTACAGTCGAATATTCTGCAACATTTAAAAAGTGCACATAATTATTTTGTGGAGATAAAATAGGTGTTAATACAGCATGAATAATCATTTTTGCTTGAAAAATTTATATGTGTATTTACAACTGGTCTTAAGAAGTGCACATCAGTAGTAACATCAGGGCCTGACTCAATGGCTTAGCAGCGATATCCTTACCCTGCACACACTGCCATCACGCATGTTTAGCAATAGAAGGCACACTTCACTTTGCAAGGCTTGTTACTAAATTTGAACAGGTGCACCTCAGTGCCTCCCAAGTAGGAGATAGCAATTAACTATCTGGTTTTATGGCCATGTTTAATTACTTGTTTTGTGTTTAACTGCTTTTCTTCCCCCCAATGTTATACCCAGGTTTTACTTTGTTTTTCCCGCGATACATCTGTGTTGGGTCACTTTGCATACAACTGTGCTTCACCACCGAAGTCATACATAAGAGGTAAAGTCTTAGTTATATTAAGGAAGTATTCTTGTTAAGACTTATGCAATTATGCCATGAATCTTTATTTTATAACATATATGGTTGTTGGCCAATTTTTTATTCTAAATTTCTTAAGATCTCATCAGTAGCCATTCTTCCACTTCCATTAAAATCAGTGGTCAGGCACCTTGTAACAAATCAGCATTTTAGTTTTCCTCCTTTTGCTTCCCCATTTTCTTTCTCCTCTATTACTGTTTTGTCTTATTTGCTGGACTTGACTTTTTTTTTTTCTTTTCTTGCTGTGACTTTGTTACATGGAAGGCTTCCCATCCCTCTACCGACTCCGCACTGAATCACGGGTTTCTGAGTTAACTAGCCCATACTTCACCATCTCCACCAACCTATAATTAATTTTCCTGTTCTGATTTCTAAACACATAAAGCCTGTGTCAGAAAAGTTAGCAAACAAACCTTAATGTGCCATGGTTCAGTCTGCATTATAAACCACATGGTTAAAGGACAGTGTTTTATATTATTCTGTTTGCTTCTCAAAACAGTTCAGTTGTCTGTCTACATGTCTGTTTTTATTATTATTCCTTTCTTTCCTTACAAGATGTGTTCCATTGTCTACACCCGAATATAAAGTGCTCATACTTCTTGTTTCTTTCCTCTCTGCAACATAACATAACATAACAACAGCAAAACTTTAATTCAGAACTTTACAGTCAAGTGCAAGAAAGCGTTTGACTTCAGTGGAGTTGGAAAACTCTCAAAACAGACATTCACTAAAAAATGTTCAATGAAAAGTGGAAATAAAAACTGAGAACCCTTCAACTTTTCAGGGAAAACTACTTTTTTAAGATAAGGAATTCACTAATAGATTAGATGTTCAGGACTACAGCAAATATATGATAATTACCACATCACACTCTCATCAGTTCTCGTGTTAATGTGATAATAGCATCGGAAGAACAGATTCAGTGTGGTTCATAGATACAATTCTAAGGGTATAATGCTTTCTTTTCTCCCTTCCTCCGTGGTCTCTCTCTCTCGTTTTCACTCGTTCTTTCTTTAAGAAAAAAACTACTTTTAAAACCTCTGGTAATATTTAATTATAGCAAGTATAGCTTGATCATTTGGGACATTTTTGATTGAAAATATTTATCCCTATCATCAGATCATATGAACTGTTTTAGGATTCAGAAAATATTACCACCACATGGCTAAAGACTTTTTAGCATATTCCATTTAAATGTAAACTAATGAGGTATTGGAAGGTTAAATTTGCTTTTATGAATGCGTTAGAATTGCTTATAATTAGCAAGCCAATTTTTGTTGTAAATAGTTGCTTCTCTTGTTATGTACTTAAGGAGTTTGATATCTATTTTCTTTTGATTATATTGTACTTTAGTTTGTATTATTGATTTTGACTGTTGAAAGAGTTTGCTAATATCAAAAGACTGGGTAACAAATGTTCAAATTCTTTCATGAAATGAGATCAGACTGTAGTCATTTTGAAAATTTCACTATTAGCACATTCTCAAACTAAATTTTGTGATTTTTAAAAAAAGATTTATTTTCATTTTTATTGGAAAGTCAGATATACAGAGAGGAGGAGAGACAGAGAGAAAGATCTTCCGTCCAATGATTCACTCCCCAAGTGAGCCGCAACGGCCGGTGCTGCGCCAATCCGAAGCCAGGAACCAGGAACCTCTTCCAGTTCTCCCACACGGGTGCAGGGTCCCAAAGCTTTGGGCTGTCCTCAACTGCTTTCCCGGGCCACAGCAGGGAGCTGGATGGGAAGCGGGGCCACTGGAATTAAAACTGACGCCCATATGGGATCCCAGGCACATGCTAAGCCAGGACTTTAGCTGCTAGGTGACCATGCCAGACCCAATTTTTGCACAACTTAGAAATTGAGAGAAACAGAGGGTTCCCAAACTCTATTTCACTCCTGAACCTTGCCTGGTGTTGACTCCAGAGCAGGACATTCAATTCGGGTCTCCCACCTGGGTGGTAGAACCCCAGCCACTGAAGCCCCGCTCTTTCCTCCCGGGGTCTGCATTAGGAGTGAGCTGGAATAAAGAACTGTGGAGCATGGGTGTCTTCAGTAGCACATTGTCTGAGCACTTGCCTCAAGTTAATGTTTAGAGATTTGTTTGACTTAATCATACTGACACGCTCTGTGATTTTTCTCTTTTAGGAAAAATAGGACTAGAAGAATATGCTGTCTTTTATCCACCAAATGGTAAGAGCAATGTTATTGCTTCCTCTAGTGGGAAATAGGGAAATTACAACTTTCCAAACTGAAATATCACCACCTCGTTCTCAATCTTTAAAAGGATGGTAATTCATCATATAAAATAGCCTTTCATAGAGTGTTTATTTTACTTTTCTTTCTATATTTGTGGTAGATCTGTCCTACTATGTTTACACTCTCTGGATAACACAACTGTGAGGAAGCTGAAAAGCTTAGATGTCCAGGGTGCTCTGTCTTCCACTGAACAACACTACACTGGTAGTCCAGCGAGGGCCCTTCCTTTGTTAGACTGGAATAGTGTTCTGATCAGTTCAAGGCTTGCCTTGTGTTGCATTCTGTTTTCATGGTTTGACCAGTGTGCTATTTATGAAATAAAGATTTACAAAACACAGTCCCGAAATAATCTGTTTGATGATATAATGTGACCAAATGTGTAATTACCTCATTAACTACTAAATATTGTTAGACAGTTTTTAAGATCTACTTTCTGGAGAAACAGTATGTAGCAATCCTTATTTTGCTAATATTAAGCTGCATCCTGAAGAAGTTCTTTTACTTCAGCAGAATTAAGAACATGGGCTTTGTAATCCAGCAGATCTGGGTTCAGATCCCAGTTCTGCCAGCTCACCCTATCACCTGGGGTAAGTTACATGACTTCATTGAACTTCAGATACTTCACCTGTGGCATGTGCATAATAGATTAAATAAGATTTGAAATATAAAACAGCAGAATACCCAGCTTGAAGTGAGAGCTTAGAAAATGAACTATTACTGAACATGTATAACTTCCTTGTCCACAGTATCTGATAGTCATCCTTGGCCTTCAGCGCCCTTCTCTGCCTCTCTGTGGGGCGTCTTCAGGGTGCCCTTCTGTGCCTCTCTGTGTGGTGTCTCAGTTTCCCTGATAGGCTGTCTGCCTCTGTACCCTTTGAACAACTCCCCCTTGATCTCTTTTCCTAATATTTCTTCAAGACTTCCATTTGTTCTCACAGCTTCGTTTGTTAATTTTTCTAAAATTTCTATCTCCATTTCTGACTTCTTTTATAATTATCTCAGACTTAGTATTCACAACCTAAGCTCATTTTTTAACTTACCTAAACATGTTTTACAAAAGTAAAACACCCAAAAAAGGAAATCACAGTAATAAAACACAAGAACACATCTTGGGGACTTTTCCTACCAGCAAGTCCCTGAAACCACTGGGGGTAAGGCAATGATTTCTTCTTCAGCCACAACAACCACCACAGACAGCCAGTCTGTTTGTTGTAAAGTGAGCACAAACTTATACAGATCAGGAAAGGGGCAGCCAGAGGGGCGTTCCCCAACAGTGCTGCCACCCAACATTGACACTGTAACTGGCTAGAGGGCACGTCTGTCTCTCTAGATCCTCCAGCCAAGTCACACAAAACTGGAAGCTGTGCCTCAGGTCACATTAACCACGTGTGGCTGGCACATAGGCTGTGGGTGGCATTTGACTTATTCTCGCAACTCATCCAAAGACAAGAAAGAGAGAATGTGGTGCAACCCACTGTTCTTGCTGCATGAGCAGTGAACAGGCTAGCTTGAGGTCTCAAATAGCTGAAACCATTGTCGGGGTTCCTCCAGGACACGGTGTGCCATGTACTTGTGACTTTCCACATAATCTAAGCAGACAGAGATCAGGGGCAATCTTCCACAAGCACACCTGTTCCTCGCTCAGGTAACTGTATTATCATCCACCCAATAACTAGGCCTGCAACCTGCCCATCATCCTAGGTCCCTCCCTGTGTTGTACCCTCCTCAATGAAACAAGTTGCCCAGACCTTCCAAAGTGTCTCCAAATGCATCTTTGATCTTCTCGCCTTTTTCTGTAGCGGCTCTCTTGCCATTACCAGAGAAATGTTAGGCAATACCTAAGATTTTTTCCAAATAGTACCAAATACCAGGCAACACAGTAAATACAGTATATATAGTAGCATATTTAATCCTTATGAGAACCTTAAGAAGCGTCGATAATAATATTCCTATTTACAGATAAAGAAATGGCTGTCTCTAGCTTGCTAACTGCAATGGTCACCTTCCTTTCCCTCTTCCTGCAGCCTTTGCTAGTCTGACTCGGACAGTGCAGTGTGAGGTGTTTCTCTAAGAGGAACATCTAAAAACCGGTATTTTTCTTAAAGTTTTCTTATGGCTCCCTATCTCTTCAGAGTAACATTCAAGCCTTTTGGCATGACAGATGAGAACTTTTGAGTCTCCATACATTCTGCCAACTACCTTTATTTCTCACCTTTGCCTATCCCATCTTTTTTGTGGTTTTATGATACAGTTTAGTTGACACTGGGGTGCTTATCTCATTTTTACAATCACAGAATGTCAAACTGTTTTTTCTTCACACATAGCTATGCAAAGATTTCTAAAAAGTTATGGGAGGTAGAATTTAAACATAAGTTTATTTTTGTGTAAAAACATCTTTGAAAAGGATGTGCTCCTGGTCGGGGAGCTCTCCGTGACTCCCCAGGTCAGCTGAGCCCTTCCTTCAGGCTCCCACATTACCCAGTGGAAATTTCTGTAGTCTTCTTAGTCTGTTGTTTTGACACTGATTGTGTGTATGCTTTTTCCTCTCTCTCACTAAAAATATCAAAGTGCTGGGAGTTCAATACAATGTCACTCATTTTTCCCTAGTGTCTGTCATGCATTAGGTATTTAGTGGATGTTTACCTGGAATTAATACTTACAATTTTAACATTTACATGTAGCCTTTGTTGCACCTCACCGTAGAAGCTGAATTTTCTAGTATCTTTTTCTAAGAAATAATACATTACCTCTGAACAGCCTAAAGAGTGCAGGTTCTTGATTCTTATTCATGGAAGTGTTTGATCGACTGAATTTAGAACCCATGAGATCTTACTTAATACAGAAGTCTAACAATAGTTTACTATTTTTATGTTCCCTATAAAACTAGAGGCAAGGAAAAAGACTGACATAGATATGGAAAATAATAAATGACAATGAGAAGTGAAAATCAGAGACTTCAAAAAGGAAAAATGAAAACACTATAGATAGCATAAAAGTGAATTTCAACAAATCAGTCTGGGAGTATTTAATGTAAAAATCAATGATCTCTCAAAAAGTGTCACTAGGTTGTGAAGTATTATGATCTGAGATATTTATGATGAGCTTGAGGCATCACAAGCACATATTCCTACAATAGTCATTGTAGCAAGTACTTGTAGAGGCAATATCTAGCATTTTCCAAGTAGTACCCAATTGCAGGGCAATGCAGTGAGTACATTATATATAGTAGCACATTTAATCCTTATGAGAACCCTATGAAGCAGTCAGTAATATTCCTATTTATAGATAAAGACATGAAGTATTAACTTGTCCAGCTAGTGGTAAGTAACAGAGCAGGGCTTTGAACCAAAATTGCCTAAATTCAGAACCAGTATTCTTACCACTTGTACCCTAATGCCTAATTATAGTGTCTTTTGGAAGAAAGAAAAGACATAATGTATTGAAAAAGTAAAGGATGCTTTAAGAATACTTCAGAAGGTTCATCAAAAAATGTGCATTGTGTTTTAAATCTGTTTTACTAGACCTTTCTTGAAGTACCCGTGTATGCTAAATTCTATAAAAATGTATATCCAGATTTAAAAAAAATTAAACCTTAGTGGGATAAACCTACACGTGTACATAGATTCAGTTCTACCATCATTTATTTTCTCAAGTTTTAAAAGTTACCAGAACAGTTGCACAAGAAGAAGAGGCAAAGACCCTTCAGTCTAGTGTTGTATTCTCTTCACCTTAGGCAATAATAAGCAACAATTTTTTATTAGCTGCCTGTTTTCTAACTGCTGCAAAAGTTGGCGTTATTTTGCAATCTCAAAGACACCTATCACTGTTACCAATAAAACTGGCAAACTTCCTTGGTCTTCGGGGGCCACACATCACACTGACACTCTCAGTCCTAGTCAGGGCAGTGAGGGTAGTGATGGGAGCTGAAGGCAGAGGCTTTCACACTACTGACCCCACACACCTGAGAGGGAAATGACAGGTGGTGATGACTGCAGGTGCTACTCAATCAGTGCCTCTGAGGTGTCATCAGTGGGTAAATTTCCTCTACTATATTCGTTAAACAGCTCCTGAGCAAAATTTATGAGCTGAGGGAAACCTCACAAGCTATTTTAAGCTTTTAATACTTTCTCCTTTGTGCAACCTGCACACATTGCTCTTTTGCATTTGATAAATTCTTGTTTAACCATGTCTTGACTCAGTGTTCTAGGTAGGTGATTTGTAGTATATGACACAAAGTATCTGTTGCCTAGGACTCTAGGAAGGGATACATAAAAGGGGGATGATTCTGGAGACTGATGAAGTGAGGAATGAACGGAACAGAAATTGTATGGAGTTCATGAAGACCTGGCACTTTTAGATGATGTGATCGTAAGGTGCTTCTGAGGAAGTAGAATGTGAACAGAGACCAAAATATGCCACAGGAGCCATGACACTCAAGGGAGGAGAACATGGCAGAGGAGGTACGCAGCATGTTCAAAGGCTGAAGGCAGGAACAGGATTGGTGGTGTAAAGAACGCGGAGATGCTTGACTGGTGATAGTGAGCAATGACGGATACAAGATGAGGATAGATCCAGTAGGAAAGCAGCTGGTGGAATATCTTCTCTAGCAAGTCTGATGGCTAGATTCTCAGAGCCAGTTTCTCTTAATGTCTCCTTTTCTTGCTAATGGGCTCTACATATTTTCCTTTTCATGCTTAGTAATTCTTTTGATTGTTGAAAAGAAGATATCTCTAATATTGTAATGTAACTCTGGAAATCAGTTTCTCCATCTCCCCAGAATTTTTCCTTGTCGGTAGTGACTTTTCTAAACTATTTTTGTAAAGATATTCCCTGTTTTGTTCCCACTTAGCTCCCTGTTTCACTAGCTTAATGGCCAGTTAGTGATTTTATGGAGATCTCATTAAAAATTCTCAGTGAAAAATCGAAAGAAAACA